ATACCAAGAGAAGGTACAAAGCAATTGCTGAGGCGACGGAATCATTTGGTAACTTAACTGTAGTGATGGCATTAGGCAAAAGCCATAAAACGGTACACCACACCAGTTTGCACTATGTAAAAAAATAAGTAAACATGCCAAAAAAGGATCCCCCTGCATACCCACCTAAGTGACAACATGTGCTGTCAAGGATGGAGAGCAAATGGAACTCACACATTGCTGGTGGTAATGTAAATTGCTACAGCCGCTTTAGAAATCTGTTTTTCAATATCTGCTAAAATTAAACATATGCATATCCCATAAATCATCAATTTTACCTCTAGACATATACATAACAGTAACACATATTCACCAAAGAAAGTAAATCCAAGCATGTTCATAGCAGCTTTGTTTGTATTACAAAAACCTGAGAACAATTCCAGTATGTACAAATAGTGGAATGGGTAAATAAATCACGGTATACTGATAAAATGGAACAGTACATGGCAATGAGAACAAAGTATTGCTCACATGACAACATGGATGAATCTCACAAGCAATATTTAATATAAAAATCCAGACAGTAATAAGAGTACATAGTGTATGATCCCATTTATGTAAAGTAATAAAAAATGTTGCAAAATAGCAATTACCTTTGGGCAGAAGTAGTGACTTGGAGGGTATTACAAAGAGGTCCTAGCGGTGTTCTATTTTGTGATTTAAGTGCTGGCTATCTTGTTAAGTTGTGAATGTTCATCAGTGCATTCACTTAATATTTGGGCATGTTTTCTATTTGCAAATTATACTTCCATTAAAAATGTTTTAGGCCAGGCATGGTAGCTCATGCCTGTAATCTCACTGCTTTGGGAGGCTGAGGCAGGAGGATTGCTTGAGGCCAGGAATTTCAGACCAGCCTGGGCAACATAGTGAGACCTCATCTTTAAAAAAATTTTTTTTTAATTTGCTGGGTGTGCTGGTGTATGCCTGTGGTCCTAGCTACTAAGGAGGCTGAGGTGGGAGGATCACTTGAGCCCAGGAGGTCAAGGCTGCAGAAAGCTATGATCACATCACTACACTTCAGCCTGCGTGACAAAGCGAAACCCTATTTCAAAAAAAAAGTTTAAAAAGTTTTAAATGTATGCTTCATTTTCTCTTTAAAATTTAGGTTTGCTTATATAGCCAATTGCTGTAAGTCTGTAACTAAAACCAAGATTACAGTAGCTCAATGCATAGAAGTTAAAGATAGATAAGCCAATTTTGTAATCTTGCCTTTTACTTTTTGTTTATTGGCTTTTACATTACTTAAAAATTGTTAAGGAGTAATAAATGCCTGTCCACGTCCATTCCTGTCTGGTCTAGAAAATTTAAATTGTCTATAAGTCTTTTGGCTGTAAGTCTCTTGGCCACAGTGGTCCTAACAAGGAACAGGATGGACCTGGGGCAGACAGCCAAACCATCTCCACAATGCTATGGGACAAAATAAAAGTTTGGCCATTGATGTTGCCTCTGACAAATCCTGGCCAGAAGGAAAGAATGTAAACCAAAAATAAAATTCTAAGCTCCCCAACCATCTGAATGGACCCCTCCTCTTGGCCAAGGGCATTCCAAAGTTAACCTGAAAAACTAGTTCAGGACATGATGGGGAAGGGGGAGTCGGACATGCCTCATTACCATTAACATGAACACAGACCTTAAGACTGATAGAATAGACTCTTTAAGTCTACTAAGAAACATTTACATTCTCTCTGAAGCCTGCTACCTGTAGGTTTCATCTGCATGATAAAACTGTGGTCTCCACAACTCCTTATCATAAACCAGACATTCCCTTCTAACGATTCCAGGTCTTTAGATAAGAACTCAACCAATTATTAATGCCAGTCAGAAAATTTCTGAACCTGCCTATGACCCGGAAGTCCTCCAACTTCCATTTGTCCTGCTTTTCCAGACCAAACCAATGTACATCTCAACACGTATCAATTGATGTCTTATATCTCCCTAAAAACCAACCTGTGGCCTGACCACCTTGGGCATGTCACCAGGACCCCCTTAGACAGTGTCACAGGCATGTCCTTAGCCTTGGCAAAATAAACTTCTAAATTGATTGAAAAAAAATTTTAGGTTTTCTGATAAGATCGATTCCAAGTGAGAGGAGTGAGAATTATACATGAAAGCTTTTGTTCCCAATTGGACAGAAGGATGCAAGCAACTTTTGATCACCTGCTCTACCATGAACAGTGCCAGGAGCTTCATAATAACTACGAGAGGTATGTATTTTATTTCCATTTTAGAGATGAAGAAGACTCAAGAACAAGAAGAACTTTACTAGTTTAAATTACAATTATATGATTCCAGCATTTCTAGAATGAAAAACTCAGGGAATATCTGAGAGAGAAAGGTCTGTAAAGAGCATTTAATCCAGCCCCTTTATTTAACAAACTGGGAAAATCTGTCCCAGGAGGGAAAGGGACTAGTTCAAGATTAGCCATCTACTCAAAGAGAAGGAACTCGAATTTCAGTCTCTTGAGTGCCACCCAGTGGACAATGTACCATGACCGATATTTACAGACAAGTTATCAAAAAACTTTTACAGAATAGTGGGAAAGAGCATTCATTAAATTGAGAATTGGAAGAACTGGATCCTGTCCCGGTTTTGCCAAGTAAGGTTAGCTTCCCCTCTCTTGGTTTTAATTTCCCCACCTGTGTAATATGAAGTGACAATAGGAAAACCGACATGAGGCAGCAAGTCTTGGATCCAAGACAGACACAGATCCAGGTTTTGTGGGGCTTGAAGCTTGTAACATTTGGGGCCGCCTTTAAGTATAAGAATGCAAAATTACCAATATAAAATTGGGAACAAAAGCCAATATTTAAAATGAGAAAAAAAAAGAACACATACATTTGAAAAAGTTGACGAATGCTAGAAACATCTGAAAATTTAGAAAAAAATACATAAATAGCTACTTATCTTTAGTACTTAATTGCCTCATGCACTTCTGTAGTATGTTATTCCTGCTTTTCTTGTTTGTTATAGTTGGAAACACGGGATTCAGCATATAGTTATAATCACAACTAAGATTTATTACAGCAATGTACTTAGGGCACACAGCCAGATCACAAGCAGAAAAGACACAGGCAAAGTTTGGAGGAGCCCATGAACAGACTTCCTTATGCTTTCTCCCTCCCATGAGGGTCCACACAGAGCACATGCTTTTCTCGGCAACAAATATGCAGTGGCACACGTGATGTTTCTGGCCAGAGAAGCCCAGATGCATTGCCCACAGTTTACACTGGGGTTTGGTAACAGAGACATCCTCTGCCTAGCATGCACCAAAATTCCAGACTCCCAGAAAGAAAGCAGGTGTTCAGCATAAACTACATTGTTTGTATTAACAGTCAAGGCACAGTGAGCCACCTTATCAGTTAACTGTTGACTAGGGAAATTCTGAGAGTCAAGTTTCCAGATGCCAGCAGGGAGCGTAACTTCCAAGCAGGTCTTTCTAAGGGTAGCAGTCACAGGAACTGTGACTGTGCCCTTTCTAGCTCAGGACACATTTGATGTTGTCACTGTTTGGGAATTCAGTCCTGACCAATTTAAGAGGTTGTGTTTCTTAGCTGTCTCTGGCCCCTGGTTTGCCCAGTTTAATTCTGTGCCTGTCCAGCAAAACTCTTCTGCATACTATTCAACGTTTCTAGTCCTCCTACAGGTCCGTGTCCTACAATCACAGGAATTCTGAAAAATGCCATTTTACAAAACCCCCTTCCAAATGTGCAAATAAACGTATCTTGTATTTACAGTTGCGTACACTGTACGCTGGGTATATTCCTGACAAGAGGGCACTTTTGCTTTTCAATGAAAATGGAATCCTTCACTTACAATTTTACACACCTGACTGATGACTGGAAGATTTTTCCACAGACTAGCTTCTGGTGCTGTACACTGTGAATCTTGGTTCTCCTCCACTGCCAACATACCCCTGATGTCAAGTGCTGCAAGTCACAGTGACATTGCAATGTACCCTCCAGCCTCAGCCCTCTTGTCCTAACACCGGATGCATTAGCATAGTAAGCAGAAGTATTCCTGCAAGCTATTTCAATAATAAAGGGCAGCTGGCAATAACTGGGAAATACATGAAATTGCTTGTGGACCCCTATATCCTAAACTAAATGAATCCCAACTTAATGTCCCCTTAGTTGAATTCCCAACATGACCATGGTTATTGCATTGCTACCCAACACACAGGCAAGAGGGATAGAGACAGCATAGTGGAAAGAAAGATTCCCTGAACCAACTGTGGTTAAAGTATCTTTTGTAGATTTTCCAAACCATACAACTGTAGGACCATGACGCTAGGGGCTGTGTAAGCAAGAGACACTGAAGCTTTATCTTAAACTTCATTCACTTCACTGTGTACTTGCATGGGGTCTAGAGACTTACAGAAGAGAAACCATGAGAAAAGACGTAGGGCCCAGATAATGAGACAGAACGGAAGAAAGTACACAATCAGAAACAAGGACAAGGAAATTAAGACAAATTCCAGATAAACAAAGTGCAAAATTTACCTGGGAATGTGTGACCTGCATGTGACCTAGCATGGGAGAGGCAGCCTGAAGAGTTATTCTTCCTAAGCTGGGGCACAACACAAGGATCAAAACAACAGAGCTGGCTTTATTCCATGGCTGAGCCAGGAGGATGTATCATGAGATTCTGTCGATATTGAGTGGATAGGAGGAGGACTAGTTCAGAGATGTCAGGATTCTTGGACCACAGACAGAGAGAAGTTTTGCTGAGCAGGCCAGAATTAAACTGGGCAAACCAGGAGCCAGAGACAGCTAAGAATCACAACCTCTTAAACTGGTCAGGACTGAATTCCTAAACAGTCACACCATCAAATGTGTCCTGAGCTAGAAAGGGCCTTCTAGGTACCATACTCCACCATTCCACCACTATCTTGTGGGTACAGAGATCACATCACCATAGTCAGGGTCAAAAAGACTGGTTGAGTCCTGCCTTGATCACTTACAGCACAAGCTGAGGCAAATCACTTCCCCTCTCTGAATTTCAGCATCCTCATCTCTTGAGTGAAGAGAATGATAATGTGGTCCCAGGAGCCTGTGAAGAATTCAGTGTCACATTAGGATGAGAAAAAGGACCTGGAGAGGCATTCCTGCTGACCCAGAACACAACACAAGAACCTAAAGGCAAGTACGTTATAAGCTTCAAAGCCTTGCAGGAATGTTACCTTTGCTTTACTACAGAGGAGGCACCAGCAGGAGAACTCTCTCTCAGAAGACAGATGGAGTCCTCAGAAAATGCTGATTCTCATGAACTCTTCTCTGTCCCTAATGTACAAGTAGTTTCAAGCAGGGGTCTTGTTGGTATTTTAGGGGGAAATTGATGGTACTACTTTAGGATTAATTTGATAAGACTAACGGTCATTTTATAAAGAGAAAGTCTCCCCATAAGTAGTATGGCTGGGAAGGGAGAATGAAGGAGGGTACAGGAAACCTGAGCAAGTATTGAAATATCTAAATGAGAGATAAGAAAGCAAGGGCAATTATGCTGTGATTGAAGGTGACACTTGCACCCTGATCATCTCCCCACCCACCTCTGGCCCAGATGACTTACTGGCCACATGAGTGAATCAATGAATTCTCCTCAGGAAGAGAACCAGTTTGCCTTTTAAAAATGCTGACAGTGAAACCCAAGTGAGGACACTCACCTGCTGCACCCAGCGTGCAACCCATACTCCTTCAGTGGGCCTTTAGGAGTTGGACCCAATCTAGTTTCCCAGCCTCTTCTCCCATGACTTCACTCTACGAATGGGTCTGCTCCAGCCACCAACCTTCTCTGGGCTCCTTGAAGGTACCTAACCCCTTCAGGCTGTCCTTCCCCCATTTCCCACCTAACAAAACCCTTTCGACCTTCAAGGCCCAGCTCAAACACCCACTCCTCTACGAAGCCTCCCCCAGCCCCTTGCCCAGAGTGAGCAGTTCCTTCCTCTTCACATTCACCTAACTCCTCTTCCCTGTAAGATGCCCCCTTACAAGTAACAAAGACATGAGTGTGCACCTACCTTCAAGGAGCCTCTTCCAGGAGGGGACCTGGCTTCGATCTGCTTTTTGACATGATACTTTGCACTGAGATCTGCCCTCTCCTGCCAGGCTGTGCTCACACCAATACCAAGAGATCACGAGACACCCTGCCAGCAAATGCCCTGGAAGCACATCCCCTTCATGCCCCTGGCAGTTGTCTAATGCACACACAAGATGAAAGCAGCTCTCGGGTGGCCTGTTGCAGGGCACAGCACAGTTCTGCCTATGCCAAGGCAGATGCTGGGCCCTTCCCTATTGTGCTCAGCACATACCCGTTCTCCAGGGCACCTTTCCTGGGCATTAATTCATCCAGGCAGTTAATATGGATTGCACAGCCTGCTGTGTGCCAGGTACCATGTGGACCCCACCACCCATGCCCAATGCAGGCCCCTCTAGTGGGCAACCCTTGCTCCACACCTCCCTGCTAGGCTGCTCAAGACTGTCAGGTCGGGCTCAACCTGCTCTCCAGCCCTGCTTCCTTCCTGTCCCTTTCCTGAGGGTTAGTTAGCCCCAGTAAACCTTTGGTCCTGCCAACTCCCTCTCACAGTCTGCTTCCTGGAAGACCCAATCTGAGACAGTGGGTTCCAGAGTGGTCCGAGAAAACAGGTGGTAAGATGGGGTCTTGGTACAGGATTGCCCTGCATCTCCCCAACTGGCAACGAGGTTCCCATCTTCGGGGGTAGGTGGCACGCAGGTGGCTCTAGGCACAAGATGGCAGGCTAGTTGCTAGACCTTCGATGTTAGAACTTTTGCTGGGATGGCCGGCTTGTGAAGAGGAAGCTCCTGGAAGGCGAGGAGATCCAGGCAGGGCAGATGCCTGGAAATGAAAACTCAGGGAACGGTATGTTTCCTGAAGGACCCACCAGGATTAATGAAAGGCCAAGGGCAATTAACAAACATCTAAAAATTAAGCAGAAACACTGGAGTCTTCCTGGTGGTTTACAAAGTAGCCCCCAATCCAAGCAATGGGCAAGCAGCAAAGTCTGAAGAACAAACCCAGGACTTGCTAAGGTGGCTGAACTCCAAAGACAGTTGAACGCTCAGCCAAGGCAGGTCTGGCATGCCAATGACACGAGTCCTGCTGGGAAAACCTGCATCCCTGATACATGGAACACGCACATCTAGGAGAAGGTCTCTGAATATCTGGTCTCCCTAGATGCCCTTGAAACTTCTGAGCTTGCAGCATCAGCCCACCCCCTCCCATGAAGCACTGCAGGCACCCTATCCCGAAGGAGAAATAAATAACACAAGAATTTTCCCCACAGGTGTCCTCCCTCCCAGGAGTGGCCCTCACCTTATCACTGGCTGCCGGGTAGGGTGATCAACAGTCCCAGTTTGCTGAGGGACTTGCGGTGCTAAAAGCCAGCGAGTCCCAGGGAAGCAGGAGGAATTGGTGAGCTGACTGCCACACCCGTGACTAGAGTGAAGGTGCAGCACAGAGCTGCGCAGGCAGGGTGTGCTGGGTCTGGGAAGGGGGAAAGCGATGACACCCCTGAGGAGCTGCAGGATCAGCATGCACCTGCAGCGGCCGGGGGGTCCCTGTGGGATGGGACCCGGATGCAGTTCAACCAGTGGGGGCCGGAAACGAAAACTACACAAGGGACTTGGAGACACTCTGCTGCTCAACACAACTGAATGCCCTGGTAGGGAGCCGAAGGGATGGGGCAAACCTGTGGATGGCACGGGATGGGCATCAGTGATGGTCCAGGCCTGAGTGACGGTGAAAGGCCTGAATTGTCATGGCAGATGGTGAAGGAAGGGATTCAAAGGCTAAGCAAAGTGAGTTTGCTGGAACTGGACAGAAGAGGTGAGGCCAGAAGACACCCCGGAGGATCATGTTTCAGGAGAGGGCCCAGAGGACACATGCGTCAGCAAGGGCATCAGGAATGTGCTGGAGAGAGGGCGCCAGCATCCCTCAGAGATCCAGCGCGGGAATCCTCTGCAGGCCAGGGTTGACCACAGCGGAGTGTCTTACAGAACGGGGCACACCGAGAACTGGAGCCTGATAAGGGCGCTGCAGCCTCCTCCTCCTCCTCATTTCCTTTCCCCCCCCTCCTCCCCTCTTCCTCCCCTCCTAATACTCTCTTCCTCCTCTCCATCTCCTGTCCTTCTTTCTTCCTCATTTCCCCTTCTTACTCTCCTCCTCCTCCCCCTCCTGCTCTCCTTCTCCTCCCCTCCTCCTCATCCTCTCCTCTCTCCTCTTCTCTCTTCTTCCTCCTACTTTTCTCCTTCTCATTTCCTTCTCTCTTCCTCTCCTCCTTCTCCTCTTCTCTCTGGAGGGGCCGTTAGGGTCGCCGCACGCTAAGTTTGGACTCTTTGCCTACAGGGTGCATCACCAGAAGGGGCTTCAGCTCCAATCCCCACTTCGGCTCCTGGCTCCCAGCATCTCCACCCGTTTTTCCTCTTGAACTCCGTCCCTGGCCGTGCGCAGGTGGCTCAAGCCTGTAATCCCCAGCACTGTTGGGAGGCGAGACGGGCGGCGGATCACGAGGTCAGGAGATCGAGACCATCCTGGCTAACACGGGTGAAACCCCGTCTCTACTAAAAATACAAAAAAAAAACTAGCCGGGCACGGTGGCGGGCGCCTGTAGTCCCAGCTACTCGGGAGGCTGAGGCACGGAGAATGGCGTGAACTGGGAGGCGGAGCTTCAGTGAGGCTGAGATCCAGCCACTGCACTCCAGCCTGGGCGACAGAGCCAGACTTCAGTCTC